GGTGCATGGCACCAAACCCTGCCTTATGGATGAAGTGTTTGAGTTTGACCATGTTTACACTGGATACCTATTAATCACCATAGAGAGGGATTCAATTTAAGGTTAGTTTTATTGCTGTGATTATTGTTGTTCTATTCTGTAATTCCAAAATTAGCTGTAAAAAAGTCATCCCTTTTGAAGTTCAGTACATCACCAAATTGTGGATGTATTACATTTTCAGAAAGATAAAACCAATCAAGCTGGGGATGGAAATATGGTATCAAGATGTGGGTAAAATGGAAGCAGTAAATAGGGAACGAGTTTGTGTAAAATAGCCAGATGATGAAAAAGTAGACCAGAGTTTTTGAGTGATATAGGTTGAATTTCCTGTAAGTAGACTCTGAGATTGAAGGTTTAAGTTTATTGAGAAGAGACACCTATAAGGGAGTGAGGAAGACAATAATGTGCGGAGGGAGAGGTTGATGCACAGGCAGATGAACCTGAGGTTCAGCCTTATGTGGGAGTACTCACCCTGAATTGGTCCTTTGGAGTTGTTCTGATTTGGGGCAAAGAACTGAGATCTTGCCTCCCTGTTTTATCCATTCTTGACCTTTGGTCACCCTCTGGGTGGAGTATAATCTTGGGTGAAACAATTGTTCCAGCTGAGGGCAGATCCCAATGAGAAACAGAGAAGCCATTATTCCCAGCAGCTGGGGGATGGAAACATCAGCCCCAAGAAGATATCTGAGCCAGAGGATCGAATTATCTGTTGGGTTGTCGGAAAAGTCATGACGTATTTCTTCTATGTTTTTTGTTGCGAAAATGCATCATGACTTTTCCAACAACCCAATATATTGCAGGATAGTATGAATTGGGACTCAGGTTCAATAAAGGAATCAGAATAGACCAAAGAAGTAGAAGACTCACAAAAGGAGGATTCAAGGACCCTTTAGTTCCTAATGGGGAAATGGGTTGTCTCCTTGACTTGTCTTGGATTTTATAAATTGATCCATGTATTTTGCCCAAGTGCTTCTCTGAAGAGCTCTCTTTAAAGGTGTATATTATTTCCAGGTTTCTGTATCATTTGAAAGGTGATTGGAGCTTCAGTGTCTTATAACATGGCAAATTTTATTTCATTGAGTATTTATTTTATGCTAGCTATGAAAACTATAAGTTGTATCTCTCAGGTTCTATATGCTCTGAATTATAATGTAGTTCCCTAATTAGTATT